TAATATGATGCCATTTGCATTTAAGTGTTTGTTCCACGTGAAGAAGAAAAAAACCCCAACTTTCCATACTTAAGGACATTTCTGAGAAAAGCCTTAGGTACAAGAGCTCATTTAATTCATAATCTCCAAGAAAGTTGTCAAAAATTTGCAAAGGCTTTTTTTCTTGCATTCTTTTTTACTGAGCTAAAAACAGAATTTAAAGCTGAGGAAAAGAGAGAGTTTGGAGTTTCCTTTGACAATTCAAAGTAATCACAATCAAATCTTTAATAAAGCCAGCAAGGGCTGAATCTATGTTTTCTCCCTGTTCCCAGACTGTAATTCGTGGGATTTACTACGTAGATTTTGCTGTGGCCAAATTGCACAAGATTTATACAATTTTTTTTTCCCAGATCACATTGCATCAATAAAGCATTTCTTTCCCAATAACAATGTGGAAATCTACTGGTATAATCTTTGCAGTGGTAATTCGGACAGTTTAAATACTATCAGAAATGGGAACACCTGTATGCTTTCAGAATACTTTTAACACCCTTAGGCAGCTTTATTTGGACAGATGCCTTATTTTATTACTTTTCCTAAAATACAAACAGTGCTGAATTATCATTCTGTCCGATTTTTTTTTTTTCTATCAGCTTCCTGAGCAGCTGCTAGGCATTTTCTTCTTAATATGATCTAAGATCCTCTGCCTCCAGTAGACAGAAGCTGAATGTAAATGCCTTCCCCTCCCCCCAGAAGCTCAAATGCAAATAAGTGGTCTGTAGGCATAATGAACAGTTGCTTTTTGTCATAACTAAATGCAGAAATCAATAATGCGGTATAAAAGCTGTTTTAAGGTAAAATGACAGATCTAACAAAAATCTGGAATGCTTATTCAGCAACTCGTCAATTTTCTGTCTTCTCTTTCATCTGAATGATAAAAATAATCTGTGGTGAATTATGGTACAAGTTAATTGTGAGAAATTTCATGTGCTTGCAAAAGAAATAAAGCAGATCTGTGTGCGGCACCACACAGAGTTTTGCAGTAATATTTTCAAAACTGGAGTAAGTAAAGAATAATAGCTAACACAAAAGGTTTTAATTACCACTAGGGAGGTAATTGAAATTTTTTCTGAGGGTACAAAGCTACACTATGTACCTAATTAAAGAAAATGTGCCAGTCCTTCAGAGACTGAGTAATCATTTGCATTGTTATGTTTTAGCTCCTAATGTTCTAGAAATGGAAAATTCACAGTTATGAAGTTTTGGATACACTCTAGTTCTTATAGATGGTGTAATGATCATATCGACCACAGTCAGATGCAGCATTTGGTGGCATGTTACAGTTTTCTATTTTGCTTTGTCTGTGCACAGCTGTTCCATCAGGAATGCTCTTATTTTTTTCTGAAGGTGATAATTTTATTGTCTAGTGCATGAAATGAGAAAGAACTGATGTTGACATACATCATCAGAATGGAATAAAGTAAAACTAAAGGGTATTACCTTTGTAATATGATAGAAAAGGCCTTCATGTTTCCTGAGGAGAAATGCCAATGAATTCACTTTCTATCTCCATATACAAAAAGAATATCTCTGCATTCTTTTGATTGCATTCCTTCTCCTTGAGTGTCTTTTCCCAGAAGTGTTCTCTCCCAGATTGGCTGCTGACCAAATTCTTTGGAAACCTGCTCCACCTTGACCCTGTCTAATTACTGTCTGGTGATTAAACCTTCCTTTCTAGCAGTGGTAACATTTCCTCTCCACCCCTTCCTTTCTTCTCCATAGAGATAGCTTTAATCACTTGTAAATTGAGTTCAGTGGCTTTCTGCCCATTATGTATGCAAAATTCTGGTTACATTTTGGTGAGGGAGGTGGTATCGTTCAACTAGTCGTTTCGTCTTTGTTTTGTAGTGTGTCTGAGGCAATCCCTCTTCACTTCAATTGAATGTGCAACCTTCTGAAAATCTGAATGGCTCTGTGATGTGTCAGTATGTTTAAAATGGTGTTAGTTAACTCTAACTGAAGTGATAGTCATGTAACTTGATTTATAATAACGATACAAAGTTTAGTCCCTTGTAAATGGGAGTTATTCCATCTTTTTAAAGTACCTCTTCCCCATGACTTTTATTTCAGATGTATGGTTCCTCAGTCTTGATGGGTATCTAGTTTCTTTGGCAAGTGTATTGTATTTTTATAGACCCATAAATATGGGGTTGCTCAGTCACCGTACGCCACTTTCCCATGTTGAAACTATTGACCTTCAGACTTCAGAGGGGCAGTGGAAGGGTGAGCAAGGGATAGATACTGGAGAGATTGTGTGTATTATGTCATTTTAGCAGTATTTTTTTGGAGTATGTTAGTATCATTGTAAATGGACTAAAAATAACTCTTTGATTAGACAGTTATAACTTTCATTAGGATTAAAAATTAGGTCCTGGCTTTTCATATACAGTGTGTTCCTTTTGCCCATCACAAGATCCTGAATGTAACAAACCTGTGGGAATAAAAGCAACTTATTCTGTAACTTGGGTGTCACACCTCAGTAACAGTAGGCATCTTGTGATTTTAGGTGCTTAAAGGAGAGGAGGATAGTTTCCTTGCAAAATTAGGGGAGCTTTGAGAGAGCAATCGGAACACTTAACTGGGGATCGCCTTCTTTTCATTAATTATATAAAATCCTTATGCTTCTAACTTTAGCATTTTTACCAGATCTATCAGCTCTTCTGTTTTCATTCTTTTTAATTCCCTTTTCATTTGGCAGCTGGATCCTCAGTGGCAAGATTGTTAACTTGAAACCTTGGTTTTCGGGGGTTCTTCAGGCTTCTTTCTCTGTGCATCTGCATCTTTC